CAGTCCCGAACTCGACCTCCAGTTGGTTTTTGTCCCTGGATTCCTCGAGCACGAGGCGCTTGATCTTCCCCGCGAACTGAGCTCGTTTGCGCCGTTCTGGGCTTTCGCTCATGGCCGCCCAGAGGTAACGTTCCCGCCCTGGGGCTTTTCCCCAGTGATGATCTTTGCCTCACGGATTTTTTGAAGGGCTTCCCCGACACGACGACGGTAATCAGGAACGTCTTCTTGGGGTCGGGGAGCGATGGACACAATAGCGAAACCACGACGAATGCCTGGGACGAAGGCGTCCTGAAGATCCAAGTTGCACTGCAAGTCTTCTAAGTGCTGCTTCACGAGGCGTAGTGTCTCGTCCCCGCTTTGGTCGTTATCCCAACCACCCACCACGATGGCAGGTCGCGGGTTGGGGTCTGTACTCCCGTCTGTGCGGGTGGTGCTTGCAGTAGAAAAGGTCGCAGTGGCAAACTTTCCCTCGAGGAGTTCAAGGCGCCGAGAAAGCTCGGCATGTCCTGAGGCCACACGGTTCACTGTCTGCTCGATGTGAACATGGCGGTCGGTCATGGCATCCAGGAGTTCCGTGGTGCGTTTCACATGTTCCCCCATGTTGGCTTCCACCTGGGCAACACGATGTCCGATGCCTGCAATCGATTCCTGAATGCTATCAGTGATCTGCTGTTGGTTCACCTGCAGGGCTTGTTGGAGAAGGGCAAGGGTCAGGGGGGTCCCCGCGCGTTCAGTCGCCCCCTCGTCCTCCTGGATTTCACGGGCTCGCTTGGGGCTTGTCTGTGGCGGAGCTCCCGTCCCCCCCGCAGCAGGGGCCGCTTCCCCCGAACCAGCAGAGCTCGAAGATATCATTCTCCTTGAGGTGCCGATAGGATCACGTTGCACAACCTGCTTGTTCTTTGCGACCCCTTCAGCTCCCGGCGACTCGCAACCAGGTCAAAGGCAGTGCAAAGTTTCGCCGATCACGCCGGCGATGAGGTTTGTCAAAGTCCCCGACGGTCAGCGCAGACTTCACGTTCAGGTGTGCCCGTGCCGATGTCCTTGCGCTCGGCGCGGGAGAAGAAGACGCGTAGTTTTGCAAGGTTCCCCTGCACGATGAATGGCTCACCTCTAGCAGCCTGGCCCCTCTCTCTCGGATCAGTTTGGTTGCTCCCCCTTCGGACTAGTTACTCTCAGCTACGGGCCGGGGGGCTCGAACCACTCGCGGCTTGAGCCAAAATGGCTACGGTCTCTCTCTCTCTCTCTCCCTCTCTCTCTCTCCCAGGCATTCGATACGTCAAGCTCCCATCGTCTCAAACTCTGTAACCCGTGCCGAAGATCTTGCTCACTCCGCTGATAACCACCGCTCCCACACCCTTTTCGAACGTGGTTTCCCGGTTCACACGAGCTTTACCTCTTCAACGGCTTGCTTGCCCTTCCTCAACCGCTCTACAGTACATCTGTGCTTTCACAGGTTTGCATTAGCGGTGTGCTCATGACTCATGATGCTTCAAATTCTTGCCGTATTCAGTTTTCTCAAACTCTTTTTTTTGGTTCTAGTGATTCTAGTGGCTTGCTCTTCCATTGCTCTACCAGACTGAAAACATTATCCAATTCAGGTCCGTTCGATCGGTTTGCTGCATGTGTATTGCTCTCCTCACACACACACACATGCCGACACACGCAAACACAAATCAAGCCATCGCGTTCAGGCAGCCCCAATACACGTGTAACTGGTGCAATGAGGTGCGAACCAACGCTCTAGATAGTTCCCGCTGGCGACTTACAGCCTCACTACTGAAAACACATGATGGAAACTCAACCTAAGAGTTCTGGCCGTGGAGGTGCAGGCACTATGCATGGTCTTACCCACTGCCAGCTGTGCACACGACATTTGCAGCAGGGACATCATCGAGCCTTCGTTGACACCGAAACTTGCAGCTCGCTGCATTCGAGGTTCAGCAATTTCAGCTGCTGAAGCACACTTTGACCGCAGTTCTTCCTCTGTCGCTAGAATGTACGGCTCATGAATCGGATCCACAGCACCTGAGCAGGAACTGCATCGAGGGTCTTGTGGCAATCCAAAACAACCAGTCAGCGTGGCTTCCGCAACTCTCCTCGTTGTATATACTGTTGGCTGAAGGACACTCTTCGAAAATGGCCAGGTACTGCACAATGAAGGATATGAAACTCCTTGGTCATGCTCGCGACACGTACAGGTTCGTCTCAAACAAAACAGGCAAGATATAGCTCTGGTATGTCTTGGTTAAGTTAACTAGTGCAACTAGTGGAACAAAAGGCCAAGGTTCTCTGGCGAAATTTCAATCGTGGATCCGGTCAGTCTGCGAGCCATGCCCTTGAGAAGGAAGGTGTGAAAGTCGCGCCTTCGCCAGTCTTCTATATTCTTCTTATTTGACTTGCTCAATGGTTGCTGCAGGCCTGTGAGAATCCAAACCGCGCTCTGCGAGCGAAGCCTGCCGCGACACAGTCACGCACACTGCGCCCCGTGCGCCGCGAGGCGCGCCTGGGTGTCGGCCGACTTGTTCAACATGGAATCCATCTCTGTGACGGTGTCGTTGAAAGTCTCTGACACTTGACTCCTGCCTTTGTGTTACGAGTATGTTTGGCCCCTGCTTTTGCCCCTCTCCGGCAAGCAAAACAAGCCTCAAAATGCGAATGTTTAAAGCAGGGTGGCTGGCTTGCAGTCTGATAGATCTGGTCTGCAGGTCTGCGCCTTCGGTGCAACAAGATGTAACATCCGAAAAGATGCGTTTGAAGAAAATGTGTTTGAAAGGCCACTGCAAGATCTCAACGGTTTCGCATGCTGGAAGACATAGCTATTAATCTCAACCTGTGCTCACCCTTCTGGGTAGCATTGGCGAAGGTACGCTACTGCCACACGTGCACGTGTAGCTTGCTGCTGCAACTCCCATCTTCCGACCCAAGTCATGGAGAGTCAGGCATAGTCAGGCCTGTGACGAACGAACCTGCAAACATAGGTTCCTCCCCGAGCAGCCAAGTAAAACTTGAAAAACACCGCCAAGTTTAGTATTGCAGTTCTATCGGGATTTGAGATGGGCCGGAGGACAGCAACTCAAACTGCCAGAAGCTGCGATGTCCTACCGGGTGTGGCAAACAAAGAGCATCAAACTTGAGCCCAACGCTTGCAGCTTGCAGGAAACACATCAACTCCTGATGCTGAGCTTGTTGTATTGAGACCTCCTTGTGATCCAAGATGAACCAAGTGGCTGTACTCGACCAGGTGCTTGAAAAAATGTTGCAAGCAAAACAAGCCATATGAGAAACATAGAATCAGTACCTGAGAAGAGATTGGCACAACATGACACACTTTCTCGCCAACTACGTGCTCGCCGTACAACCCTCAACCTGTCATAAAATATCAGCTTAGCCTCACAAATCTCCAGGTTGGTATGCGTGACGTTGTACCAGTTGCGATACTCCATCAATATCCGAACTAGCAACGCCACGTCTGCACCGGTGCCGATGAGGAGTACGAGATGAGGCACGCTGTGGATTACCTTCACATACGTCGGCACATACCTGCAATGCCGTGCTTCCAGTACGGTACAGTAGCATGTATCAACATATTCAGCAGGCCCTCCAAACAAGTGCCAAACCAAGGCGCTTGTATTTCGAGGGGGCGAGATCCCTTATCGGCACATCGATGGGAAACATGAGCAGCTTGGAAAAATCAAATAAAATTGATTAAAATTGCACATCAGATCCGTCGCAACAAATGCCAGTCCAAGCTTCCCAACGAAGCGAAAAGGCTCCAGAGGGAAAGGCCAGCTGTGTGGTTCGCTGGCATCCGCTGCTTCAGAAGCAGCATCGTTTCTTGATGACGCGGTGGCCTAAAATGAACGATGCGAAACGATCTCAATGCACCGGCTTCGGGTCCGTGCTGCTGGAGGCAATGAGGCTGCGGCGTTGTAACTAGGAACCTCGTCTGATGTTAGATTTGTGGTCCTTGCAAAACGAGCAGCAACTAGGACCAATAGCTCAGCAGACTATCCGCCCAAGTCGAAAGTTTACTGCACTAGCAGAAACACCAATTACACATCCACCAAACACAACCCATTGCATCCACCGAGGGTCTCTGCTGCTGCCATGCAGGACCGACCAACCGACTGCCACTTCGCAAACAACTGCGCCCACGAAAAAAGGCCTGGGACTTAGGTTTGAGCCACATCTAGCAACAACAGCACGCCTCTGCGAATCCACAAGTCCAGAACAAACTCATTGATCGGTGAAAATTTTTAGGTTGCGCCACGTCAATCGGTTGCGAAGCCCTCTGAAAGAAGGCTTCTGCAAGCCTTCTATTCAGCACATTGGCCCGCAGCACATGCAAGCAAAACCAACCAGCCGAGGATGCAAACAAATGTGCCTGCTCGCAGGCCGCTGTCTCACGCGCATGGCATCCCTCCGCACACCGGACAGCCTCCGAAGCTCGTGGACTGCTCGCGGCCGAAGGTTGGCCTTCGTGGGAGCTGGTCGTCCGACCCGGCCCCTTTGCGAAGCGGGCAACAAACACAAACAAGTGAACAAACCGGCAACTCGTGAAGCCGGCTGATGCAAGGTCGCCCCTGATTTTCCACATGCATTTTTGCGCCCCTGCCAGAAAATGCCACCAATGGAAGCGGCTGGGCCCATCGTCTTCGGCCAGCGCCAGGCCGTCGCACCGGCCACGGTGCGGCCCAAAGCTGTGGACATGCTAGACATTTCCACAACGGGAAAACCCCCCCCCCAGTCTCGCCCGGCCGACAAGGAACTGACGCGTGCGAACGGAGAGCTCGGAGGCCGCCTTCGTGTGCTCAACGTCAACACAATCCGTGCGTGCATGAAGGTGTCCTTGTTGGGGGGGACACAGATGTAGCGTCGCAGCACAAGGCTTTTTTGGTCGAGCACACGGTCCAGCGCAGCGCCGATCAGGGCCGTCGCTCGGCGTTGGTAGTGGGGCAGCCGGCGACGCGTGGCCCAAGGCCGTGCCCGCAAGAGCTGGACTGAAACGGAAAAGGCTCCCCACCAACGCCTTGCCCAGCCAGAGGACGCCGCGCGCGCACTGCTTGCGGCGCGTGGAGAGCTCGGGGACGGACTAGGTCGCGAACAAAACACGGCGCAGCAGTGCCCCACCGGCCTCCTATATCTCGGAGCCCGGGCCGCCCCTCGCGAGTTCGGGGTACATGCAGTGTTTGCGTCATTCCGCGACCTTCAGTGCGGTGCCGTCCACCTCAACGGTGCATGGATGCGGGTGACCCGTTCTTGTAAGAAGACACCAGTGTTGCGTCGCAGCACAGCGAAGTGGGGACGCTTTTTGCGGTCGTGGGCAAGCCAGGGCATGGTCGCCGTGGCCCATGACGCCACCACATCCTCGGTTGGGGCCGCAGCGGCTGGAGCAAAGAGGCAGGGCCTAGTCGCACGGCATGGCAGTGAGCATCAGTGAGCCATGCTCCGGCATGCGGTCCCGCTTGGAATGGCACGCGAGCTAGCACATGATCGCGAGAGTGTACGGTAGGGTTTGCGATGCGTGGTACTGCCAACCATGCGGCCAGTCTGCCTCACCTGCATGGTGCCACTGGTGGGCGCGGGCGAGCGCCGTCGAGGAGAATGCGCCAGTAGAGCAGCCGCTCCAGCCTTGGTCCTGCAAGGAGCGACGTGCATGCGCTGCTTCCGCGAGGCAGTGCGCAATGCGCGCCCTCTCCCAGCCCTCTCCGGCCTCAAACTCGAGGACCTGCACGTAGCTGGCCGTGCACCGCGGCACGCGCGCGTACGCGCAGGCATCGCATCTGCCCAAGAGACCCAGTAAGCTGCAGCCGCTGTGGTTTCGGCGGACTGCAATCCGAGGCCGCCCAGCGCCCCAGGCAGGGCAGCAACGTGTTGTGACTGTGCCGTGCCTGGGTGGCGTCTGCAGCGTTCCCCCGAGCATGTTCTGCAGCGTCGTCCAGACGGGATCATCATGTCCCCAGGCGTATGCCGCAGACGCCGAGGGGGCGTGGTGCGAATGGCATGGTTAGCGCCAGCCAACTCCACCGACCTCGGTCCGACTTGGTCCAGACTGGACTTGCGGAGCGGACTGGACTCGTAACCCAGCCTTTCGGCGCCCACGGTCTAGACAGTCCAGAGTCCACGGCTCCACGTCCACACGATCCACACAGACCACAGACAACTACCAATTCTACTCACCGTCTACAGTTTACATCTCCCGTCTCAGACAGTCTCCAATCACCCGAATCCGACTCGATTATCCCCCCACGTTCGGGGGGGTCTACCTCGGCCACGTTCAGTTCAGACCTTTTGGGTGGGTCTGGACAGCTTGTGGCCGAGTCTCGCGGTTCAAAACGCCGGGAGAAAGCATTGGAACATCACAGATCCAGGAAGCAAAGGAACATCACAAATCATTGCATGGTTCAAGGCTTCTGGGTTTAAGAGTTTTCGCATGTTTCTGTGCAGTTCCGGGTTTCGGATTTCTGGGTTCAAGGCTTGGGATTTCTGGGTGGGTTTCTCGGTTTTGGAGTTTCTGAATTCATGGTTTCGACGCGCTACACCCGGGAGGGAGGGGTGGGGAACGGGTCGCCGGAGTACTCGCTGCTCCCTCCGAGGCACAGGGTCCTTCTTCGAGGCAAACCCCAAACACTTTAATTGGATGTTTCTCGCTTTCGGGTTTCTGCGTTCAGAGGTTCTGGGTTTGGAGTTTCTGGACGTTTCTTATGTCTGACAGCATGCGGAACACGTAGGGGTCAGTAAATGAATTTTCACTTTTTGACCCCGCCTTCCCCTAAAAAGCAACGAAATTTATTGACCATGTTTTGCATGCGAAGTTGCTATAGTTTAGGGGGGGTCTGGATCGACCCTTCGAAGGGTCTGGACTGCTCCAGGGAGCACCTCAGACCCGCTGCCAAATTTGGGCCCATCTGAAGTCCCCACCCCCAATTGAGGGGATACTCGATTCAAGTTGTTCTGTCACTGGCATTCCATACTGTTTGCCTCTTCGGTGAAAATTACTAGTTAGCGCGCGGTGAAGCACACACACAAGCAGAAACCGCCATGCGCGCTAAAGGTCGGGAAGCTTGGGCAGTTGGCCGAGGAACTCTTGCTCGGCGCGCAGCCTTTCCTTGTGCTCCTCCAGTGGTTGTTGGCGCTGTAAACGACGAGGTCGAGGCGACGTAGGTCGCCTGCTGGACGCAAACAGCGGTCGCACTTGAGGCAAGCGGCTGAGACCTTCGTCCGTGGCGAGGTCGAGCACACGGTCCAAGTGCTGCGCCGTCGCTCGGACCCGGTGGGGCAACTGGCCAAGTGGGGCCCAAGGCTGTGCCAACGGCGAGCTGCATCGCGACGGAAAGACACCCTCATCAACCGGAGCGCGGGGTATGCCGTGCGTCTGTCGAGTGAAGCTTCCCTAAAGCATCGGGGCATCCGCAAAGCCGCAAAGCCTAATAGCGTAAACAGGCACCTGTCAACTGCACGGTCGAGTCTTGGTGGCTGCCGCTGATTGTCGTAATTTCGCATCTGATGCGACCACATTCTTGAGCATTGGGTGCCGGCATCTATTATGGCATCTTTCCTCTTGTTGTTTGCTTGTTGTTTGATGGACTGGAAGGTGACATTAGTTGGTTTTGTCGTCCGTGCAATCGTCTGACCATGACTCATGGTCGGCCTTGCCGGCACATGCAGCAAGTGCCATCAGGTGCCAGCCAACATGGCAAATCGGCAGCAGCTCGCACTCGCGAGAGAGACTCGGACCTGCCCATGCCGTCAGCAGTGAAAAGAACCCGCATCGCGTTTATGGCGAATGCGCACCACTTATCGGCCATCGCTGCGCGGTGCACACAGGAGCTACGAAACGCACATGAGCTTATGTCGGTGGAGGGGCATTCATTCGATGTTGTGCCATGAACACCGAGCGGAGGAAAGCATCATTGCGGAGTCGCGCAACATCAACTCGACAACGTGGCATGTGAAACCTTGGTTCAAGCATCCAGTTCTCATGTCGCTCACCCAAGAAAAGGCAAACCAGCAGCTGATAATCGAGATAATTCCCCAGGGAATGAACTGCTGCAATCACTCGGCGGTATTGTGCCGACACTTCGCGCTGCAAGAGAGGTTGCTTTCGGTACATGCACAGAATAGTTGCACACCCGACATGCCAAGGTGCGACCAGCGTCCGTGCCGCTAGCGGCGAATGCGCCTAATGCACAACAACACCGGCAACCCGCCCGGGGCCAAGCGAGGAGCTTGCGAACGCTCACTGCAACGTGATCAACAGATATCAACAGCATCTACGTCACACAAGTGGGATGACACAATAGCCCAGCTACGGGGAGGCGTCGAATTGCAAAATCGGCAAAGTTGAAACTAAAAGAACGGGCTCAACGCTTTCAGACCCACATGCCGCCCAGGACACGGCAACATGACCTTCATCGGTGGGTCTGGCCAGTTGGATGCACACGCCGCCGAACATCTCGTGACCACAACGATTGCTGATGCAGATAGTTTGCTGGATGTTTTTTTCCGCACCTTTTTGCGTCCGCACAACGTGTCCCACCGTCGGAAACTATCGAAACCTTAAGGCGCCTACGGGGTGCTAGCGCAGCGGCAGCCGCCTCGGGGCGCTCGCTATCGCGAGGTCCAACACGTCACCCAACGGGAGCGCGTCTTGCGCACCAAGCAGCGGCGGCATGGTCCAGACTCCAAGCGCGGAGTTGGCGGCGGCTCGCTGCAGGGCAACCCACAGCACACTCCACCAGCGGCACCCCCAGCCCAGGGCTGCAGCGGCGCGCAAGGGTGGTGGGGCGCGTTGGACACGGAGCTGGAGTAGGGTACGGAGGAACTGCTGGCAATGCTGGCACTCGTCGCTCCAGCGGCCCCCGACTTCTGCAGCGAGGACTAATAGTCGTTGAGGCCTCCGCGGGTCAACTCCGGGTATCGCGCGACTTTGCGTCGGCGCGTCGCGACAAGCGCGACTCCCTCCCGCGCGTCGGCACCAGGGACGGGGCCAGCGAGAGTAAGAGGGGAGACGGGGTTGCGTCGCAGCACAAGGTTTCCCCGTTGCTCGGTCACGCGTTCTCGAAAGGAAGCGTGAAGTGCGAGAACGGCGTGTCGCTGCCAAGCTGGG